ATGATTAACTGGTTTGATCTCCTTGCTGTCCAAGGAACGCTCAAGAGTTTTCTCCAGCCCAGATCTCTCACACAGATATCCATAGCTTATTACCCTTCAGCTTTTAAATATTTTGAAGCAACAGTTAGAATCAGACATGGGACAACAGGCTGGTTCCAAATTGGGAAAGGAGTACATCAAGGCTATATATTGTCACTCTGCTTATTTAACTTATATGCAGAGGACATCCTGCAAAATGCTGGGCTGGATGAAGTACAAGCTGGAATCAAGATTGCCAGGAGAAATATCAATAAACTCAGATACTCAGATGACACCACCCTTATGGCAGAAAGCAAAGAAGAACTAAAGAGCTTCTTGATGAAAGTGAAAGAGAAGAATGAAAAAGCTGGCTTAAAATTCAACATTCAAAAAATGAAGATCATGACATCCGGTCCCGTCACTTCATGACAAATAGATGGGAAAACAATGGGAACAGTGACAGACTTTATTTTCTTGGACTCCAGAATCACTGCAGATGGTACCTGCAGCCATAAAATTCAAAGATGCTTGGAAGAAAATCTATGACCAACCTAGACAGCATATTAAAAAACAGAGACATTACTTTGCTGACAAAGGTCCATCTAGTCAAAGCTATGGTTTTTCCAGTAGTCGTGTATGGATGTGAGAGTTGGACCATAAAGAAAGCTGAGAACCAAAGAATCGATGCTTTTGAACTGTGGTGCTGGAGGAGACTGTTGAACTGCAAGGAGATCAAACCAGTCAATCCTAAAGAAAATCAGTCCCTAATATGCATTGGAAGGACTGATGCTGAAACTGAAGCTCCAATACTCTGGCCACCTGATGCAAAGAGCCAACTCATTAGAAAAGACCCTGATGCTGGGAAAGATTGAAGGGAGGAGGACAACGGGATGACAGAGGATGAGCTATTTGGATGGCATCACCAAACTTGATGGACATGAGTTTGAGCAAACTCTGGGAGTTGACAGATCGGGAAGACTGGCATGCTGCAGTCCGTGGGGTCTCTAAGAGTTGGACACAACCAAGCAACTGAACTGAGCTGAACTGAACTGAATCATTCTGAGGAAATATTTCTTAGTGATTACACTGCTAGTATTGCCATGTCATATGGGCAAATAATTTCTGTTATTATACATATAGATAATGTGGTGTCTATATAGTCCCCGTTTAGATTCTTGCTTTTGTGGAAGTTACATTTCTGTGGGAAGAGACAGATAAACAATAAACCTGATACATGAGTAAGTTATATATTATGTTAGAAGTCATGGCAAAAAACAGAACAGAGGAGAGCAATTGGGAGGCACAGGGAGGGGATGAGAGGACTGCAATTTTAAACATGACAGTCCAAAGAGGTCTCATTAAGAAAATGACATTGAAAAAAAATGAGATATGATTCATATAGCATAAAATCCACCATGTTAAAGTGTAAAATTCAGTGATTATTTAGTAGATTCACAAGATGGTGCAACTGTCATCATTACCAAATTCCAAAGCATTTCTTTACTCTAGAAGAAATCCTGTGCTCATTAGCAGTCAGTTCTCAACCTCAGCCATTCACCTACCTTGTCTCTATGAATCTGCCTGTTCTGGACATTTCACATCAAAGGAATTGTACAATAGGTGACCTTTTGTGTCTGACTTCTTCTGCTTAGCATAATTCTTAAAGAGTCATCCATGTTATAATGTGTATCACTACTTCAATATTTTCGTAGTTGAATAGTGCTCCATTGTACAAATACATTAAAAGCTGGTTAAAAAGTAATTGCGGTTTCAGACTGTAAATTTTTAAATCATTATAACTAGGTCCAAACTCATGTTTATTAATCAGAATAAGAACTATTACAATCAACACATTTTTGCAATGAGAAATAAGTTTGTTTATTCCTTTAACATAAAAATCCATATTTCAGGATTCGGTGAACTCTTGGAAAGCATTTTCTGCATTTTGCTGATTGTGGAAGCATTTCCCCTTCAAAAAGTTGTTGAGGTGGTTGAAGAAGTGGTAGTCAGTTGGTGAGAGATCAGGTGAATGTGGCAGATGAGGCAAAACTTCGTAGCCCAAGTCATTCAAGTTTCGAAGCATTGGTTGTACAACATGTGGTCAGATGTTGTCATGGAGAAGACTTTGGCCCCTTCTGTTGACCAATGCCGGCGGCAGGGCCTGCAGTTTATGGTGCATCTCATCAATTTGCTGAGCATACTTCCCAGGTGTAATGGTTTCACCAGGATTCAGAAAACTGTAGTGGATCAGACTGGCAGCAGACCACCAAGCAGTGACCATTGCCTTTTTTGGTGCAAGTTTGGCTTTGGAAAGTGCTTTGGAGCTTCTCGGTCCAACCTCTGAGCTGGTCATCACTGGTTATCGTATACAATCCACTTTTTGTTGCACATCACAATCCGATTGAGAAATGGTTCATTGTTGTGTAGAATAAGAGAAGACACTTCAGAATGATGATTTTTTCAGTGTTTGGTCAGCTCATGAGGCACCCGCTTATTGAGCTTTTTCACCGTTACAATTGGCTTCAAATGCTGAACAACCATAGAGTGGTCAACGTTGAGTTCTGGGGCAACTTTTCATATAATCAGCTTTGATGATGGCTCTCCATTGGGCATTATCAATGTCCAATGGCCAGTCACTGTGCTCCTCACCTTCAAGGCTTTTGTCTCCTTTGCAAAACTCCTTGAACCACCACGGCACTGTACATTTGTTAGCAGTTTCTGGGCCAAATGTGTTGCTGATGTTGTGAGTAGTCTCTGTTGCTTTACCATCCATTGTGAATTTGAATTAAAAAATTGCTTGAATTTGCTTTTTGTTTAACATCATTTCCCTAGTCTAAAATAAATATAAAATAAAGAGCAAGTAATAAGTCATTAGCCAAAAACATAAAGTGATAAATGTGCATTTAAAAGTGATGTATAATATAACCATGTTTGTTTAAGAATGTATTCTAATATCAAATGTCAAATTTCAACTATGTAAAACTGCAATTACTTTTGCACCAACCTAAATATCACATTTTGCTTACCTGTTCATCAGCTGATGGATGTTTGAATCGTTTCTGTTTTTAGTTGTTCTTAAATGCTGCTATGAACATTCACATACAGGTTTTTGTGCATATATAAATTTTCAGTTCTTTTGGGTTATAGGTCATTGAAGGCCATTGTAAAGATTTGGGCTTTTATTCTGAAAGAAATGGGAAGCCTTTTCATACTGTTCATGGGGTTCTCAAGGCAAGAATAATGAAATGGTTTGAAAAAGACCTGATGCTTGGGAAGACTGAACGCTGGAGGAGAAGGGGATGACAGCAGATGAGATGGTTGGATAGCACCACTGACTTGATGGACATGAGTTTGAGCAAGCTCCGGGAGATGGTGATGGACAGGGAAGCCTGGTTTGCTGCAGTCAGTGGGGTTGCAAAGAGTCGGACGACTGAGTAACTGAACTGAACTGAAATGGGAAGCCATTGAAGGTCTTTGGAGCAGAGAGGTGATGTGATTTGACCTACCATATCACTCTGACTGCTGAATTACATGTGGGCAAGGGTGGAATCACAGAGAATCAAAGAGAGAATTGGTGGATATTTGCAGTAATGGCAGCTTGCAAGGCAGTTGGTATCAGGGAGGTGACAAGAAGTGTCTGAACTCTGCATATGTCTTTAAGATACAATCAACAAGATTTTCTGCCAGACTGTGAGCAAAATATAAAACAAGAGTCAAAATTTGTGGTTCATTCATTTTTGCTGCAGGAAATAGTATGTCAAAATAATTTCTTCTCTTTTGGTTCAGACCCCAAATTCTTAATTAGATAATGTAACGTGTTTAAAAATATCATCCAAGATAATAACAATAATAACAATAACACCCTGCAACTTATTAAACACCAGATCCTTTAATCCATCTATCTCATGAGGCAGATATTATTTTCCTCAATTAATTAATGTGTAAACAAAGATGTGGTTAACATCTTCCCTAATTTTCATTCCCCTCTTAAACTTCAGACCAACCAGAAAAGTCAAACATGCACCCGCCAACCACTACACAGGATGCCCTGCTTCTGGTTAGTCCACCAACATCTTCCCCAGGCCAATAATCTTCAATTAGGGTACAATCAAAGCCTTCCTCTTTTTCCCCTATAAAGCTTTCCCACTCTTCCTTCTTGAGTCTCTGCTGAAACACATGTAAAGGTGATTGACTCCATTGCTTTAACAAGCTCCAAATAAATAAACCTTTGTTTGCATTTGGTTAGTATTCTTTTCCACGGGTGTCTTGAGTCAGGTTTCCCTGAAGTGGAACTTGAAATGAAGGCCTCAGTTTAGATTTGAAAATAAAAGTGAAAGTCATTCAGTTGTGTCCGACTCTTTGAGGTCCCATGGACTACACAGTTTTTGGAACTCTCCAAGCCAGAATACTGGAGTGGGTATCCTTTTCCTTTTCCAGGGGATTTTCCCAACCCAGGGATCAAACCCAGGTTTCTCACATTGCAGGCAGATTCTTTACCAGCTGAGCCACAAGGGAAGCCTCAGTTTATAAGAGAATATTCTGAAGATCATCACATTTAAAGAGGGTAGTGGGAACAGGACTGAAAAGAGGGAGACGTTGAACTGCCATATATTTGCATTAGAAACCTTAAGCTGCAAAAAAAGGCATCGGCTGCCTCTGGCTAAGATGGCCGCCGTGGAGGCGTCGTTGTAGGGGAACTTCGCGCCGGGACGGCGACATCTAGACTGAGGCTAAGGTCCCAGCGTCCTTCCCGTCGTTTGTGAGCTTACTCCGTGGACACAGTCTCAAGATAATTTGCCTTGTGATCTGTGAACAGTGACTGACGACAACAGCATTGGGGGCCTGGAGCTTTCCTTGTGCCACGAGGTTTTCATTCTGTACGAGTCCTTCCCCTGGGATGGAACGTGGCATAAAATCTGAGTTGTCATTAGCATTTAAATGTAATTGAAGCCTGTACAGCTTGGGGAAGAAATTCTCAAGGTATGGACGAGAAGGGTGACCCGAGCAGTGAGGAGGCGCCCAAAGCCATCAAGCCTACCAGCAAGGAGTTCCGGAAGACGTGGAGCTTCCGGAGGACCACCATCGCCAAGCGCGAGGGTGCTGGGGATGCGGAGGCAGACACCCTGGAGCCGTCGCCCCGGCAGCAGCAGAGCCCCTCCCTGCGGCGTAGCGGGCGGCAGCCGAAGCGCACCGAGCGGGTGGAGGAGTTTCTGACCACCGTGCGGCGCCGCGGCCGTCGGAGCGCCCCCGCTTCCCTGGAGGACTCCGGGGAGCCAGCGTCCTGTCCAGCAACAGATGCGGAGACCGCCTCTGAGGGCAGTGTGGAGAGCGCCTCAGACGGGAAGAGCGGGCCCAGATCCAGCTCCACAGGTGCTAAGCAGCGGCCGGCCTCCTCGGCGAAGGCCAGAGAGGGCGAGGACGAGGACGACACGTCTGACAGCGACAGTGACGGACTGACCTTGAAGGAACTCCAGAACCGCCTGCGGAAGAAGCGTGAGCAGGAGCCTACGGACCGGCCCGCGAGGGGCATCCAGAACCGCCTGCGGAGGAAGCGGCGGGAGGAGGACCCGGCTGAGACCGTGGACGTCCAGGCGGGTGATGCAATGGAGGGCTCGCTGCCTGCCTCACGGGAGCCTGAGGGCGACCTGGGGGCTGTAGCCCAGGCAGCGAAAGAGGACAGAGAGGGCCGGCCGGATGGGAGAGTGGCCCCGGGAGGGAGAGCTGAGGAAGCTGCAGACTCGGTCCGGCACAAGCCGGAGTGCGAGGTGTACGACCCCAGCGCCCTGTACTGCCTGTGCCGCCAGCCTCACAACAACAGGTTTATGATTTGCTGTGACCGATGTGAAGAATGGTTTCATGGTGACTGTGTGGGAATTTCTGAGGCTCGAGGGCGGCTCTTGGAGAGGAATGGGGAAGACTATATCTGCCCCAACTGCACGATCCTGCAGGTGCAGGATGAGGCCAGCTCAGAAGCCACAGACATGCAGGACACGAGGTCAGGACCCCTGGGTGCCGACAGCACAGACTTCACCAGTATAGGAACCGTGGAGCAGAAGTCAAGTGAAGACCAGGGAATTAAGGGTAGAATTGAAAAAGCTACAAACCCAAGTGGCAAGAAGAAACTCAAGATATTCCAGCCCGTCGTGGAGGCGCCTGGTGCTGCCAAGTGCATCGGCCCTGGGTGCTCAAGTGTGGCGCAGCCCGACTCGGTCTACCGCAGCAACGACTGCATCCTGAAGCATGCCGCGGCCACCATGCGCTTCCTGAGTGCAGGGAAGGAGCAGAAACCCAAAGCAAAAGAAAAGCTCAAGACAAAGCCAGAAAAAATTGTTCTTCAAAAATGTAGCGTTCAAGCAGGCATTAAAATCTCTTCTGTGCACAAGAGACTGGCTTCAGACAAGAAGGAAAACGCGGTGAAGAAGGCAGCAGTGGCCCCTCCCAGGAACGAGGTCCTCACTAAGGAGCCAGCCTGTGAGAGCAGCACGCCATCCTGGGCCAGCGACCACAATTACAATGCAGTAAAGCCAGAACAGACTGCTGCCCCCTGGCCGCCACTGTTGTATAAATCTGTGAAGGAGGACAGACGCATGGAGGACAAGACGGCTGTGGTGGTGGCGAAGAAGTTGGCTCCTCCAGGCTCCTCGGGGGCCGGCAGACAACCCCCTGGCAGAAATCTCCTTCCAAAGAAGTCCCCTTCTTTTGCAAACACAGCAGTGGCCAAGTCCACTGTCAGAAAGTCACCCTCAGGCTTCAAGGGCACCATCCCCAAGAGGCCGTGGCTCTCGGCCACCACCTCCCCCTCAGGCAGTGCTCCCCCTGCCAAGCAGGCAGGGCTGGTGGCTGCTGCTGCCTCATCTGCTTCCAGAAAGTTCCCCAGCTCTGCTGCTTCTGTGGGCGCTGCCAGGAAGCCTGGGAGTACCTCAGTTCCCCTGGCCTCTCCAGCCCCGGGACGCTTGGGCCCTGTGAGCCCCGCTTCATCACAGCCAAATTCACAAATTCGGCAGAACATAAGACGCTCCTTGAAGGAGATCTTGTGGAAAAGAGTCAATGACAGTGATGACTTAATCATGACCGAAAATGAAGTAGGGAAAATCGCACTGCTCATCGAGAAGGAGATGTTTAACTTGTTCCGAGTCACGGACAATCGGTACAAGAGCAAGTACCACAGCCTCATGTTCAACCTCAAGGACCCCAAAAATCAGGGACTTTTCCATCGAGTTCTGCGTGAAGAAATCTCATTGGCAAAACTGGTGAGAATGAAGCCAGAAGAACTGGTCTCCAAAGAGCTCTCCGTGTGGAGAGAGCGAACGACAAAGCCCGTGATGGAGTCCAGAACGAAATTGCACAATGAGACTAAGAAGCCTGCCATTAAACAGGAAGCCGTTCCCGACATGGAAGACTCTCCACCAGTGTCAGACTCTGATGAGCAGCAAGAGTCGGTGCGGGCAGCCCCCGAGCGGAGTACAGCACCGCTGCCGGGTGTCTTCAGCAGCGACACGACCAGCCAGCACCGGGCGCACCTCTTTGACCTGAACTGCAAGATCTGCACGGGTCAGGTTCCATCCTCGGAAGATGAGCCAGCTCCGAAAAAACAGAAGTTGTCAGCTTCTGTCAAGAGGGAAGAGTCCAAGTCCAAGCGTGACAGCCCCCCATCTGAGCCGGTTCTCAGTGAGGCAGATGATATGGCGCCCGAAACCCCGCCTGAAAATGCCTCGGAGCCAGACCTGGAAAGTGTAGCTCGCACCCACTTAGAGGGAAAGTACCTCCCAGCACCCCTGGAGGACAGCCAGCCTGAGCCTCCTGCCCTGGAAGGTCCACCCTGCCCCACCCCTGGTGGTGGCAGTGTGCTCACCACAGTCACGATGTCCGGTCGGGACCCCAGGACTGCATTGGGCGGGCCAAGCACGGCCACAGCTCCTGCAACAACCCACCCGGAGGGCACCACCCCAGCAGAGCCCCGACAAGACATACCAAAGCCAGTGCCACCCTCTGTGACGGTGCCCAAGTCCATCCTGGCCAAGCCATCTGCGTCCCCTGAGCCTAGATATCTCCGGTCCGTGCCGCCATCCCCAAGCATCAGCATCTCAGAGTCCCGGTCCCCTCCTGAAGGAGACACAACTCTCTTCTTGTCTCGACTCAGCACCATTTGGAAAGGATTTATTAACATGCAAAGCGTAGCCAAGTTTGTCACTAAGGCGTATCCTGTCTCTGGATGTTTTGATTATCTCAGTGAGGACCTGCCCGACACGATTCACATTGGAGGGAGGATTGCTCCAAAGACCGTGTGGGATTACATCGGCAAGCTCAAATCCTCAGTGTCCAAGGAGCTCTGTCTGATCCGCTTCCACCCCGCGACTGAGGAGGAGGAGGTGGCCTATATCTCACTCTACTCCTACTTCAGCAGCCGCGACCGCTTTGGCGTCGTGGCCAACAACAGCCGGCACGTCAAGGACCTCTACCTGATCCCACTCAGCGCCACTGACCCCATCCCCTCCAAACTGCTGCCCTTTGAGGGGCCAGGTCTCGAGTCACCGCGTCCAAACATAATCCTCGGGTTAGTGATCTGTCAGAAAACAAAGCGGCCCTCAGGCGCTGGGGAGCTAGACAAGACGGAGGAGAAGCGGGCTCGCCTGCTGACACAGGACGAGGTGGAGCCTGTCCATCCCAAAGTGCCTACTGCCCTGCCGCCAGAGAAGAGGCCCCCCAAGTACCAGCTCTGCCCAGGGGATGCGGCTGTTAGCACCACGCCCCCGGCTCTCCCCCACCCCCACCCCCTCCTCCAGAAGCACCTGGGGCGCCAGGCTCGTCTTCCATGTTGAAAGTACTGTCGTCCCTCAAACCAGGAGCCACAGCACCATCTGGGACAGCGACAGCAGCTCCAGCAACCGCTTCCTCTGTCTCTTCAACTTCAAAGACCGCCTCACCCCTGGAGCACATCCTGCAGACTCTCTTTGGGAAGAAGAAGTCGTTTGACCCCCTCTCCAAAGAGCTTGTGGAGTTGGCCCCTGCCCCCCACCAGGACTCCAAAGCCAAGACCGATGGGGGGCTGACAGCAGCACCCCTGCTGGACCCCATCGTCCAGCAGTTCGGTCAGCTTTCCAAAGACAGAGCCCTGGAGGAGGAGGAGGACGATAGGCCGTATGACCCCGAGGAAGAGTACGGTCCCGAGAGAGCCCTGGACACTCCGCCCGGTGACAGGGCCAGGCACCAGGACGCGGAAGAGGCCCCCGAGGCAGCTGAGCGGGAGGAGGTGGCCTACGACCCCGAGGACGAGACGATCTTAGAGGAAGCCAAAGTGACCATCGATGACCTGCCTAACAGAATGTGTGTCGACACACGTGGCGGGCCTGGCCTCTCTGCCCCTTCCTTGGTGGAGCAGCAGAAGATGATTGAAGAGCTCAACAAGCAGATCGAGGAGCAGAAGCGGCAGGTGGAGGAGCAGGAAGAGGCACTCAGGCAGCAGCGGGCTGCCGTCGGGGCCTCCATGGCTCACTTCTCTGTGTCAGATGCACTCATGTCACCGCCTCCGAAGGCCACACTGCCCAAGGCCGAGCTGTTCCCGCAGGAACCGCAAGCTCTGGTCAAGCCGGCTACAGCCTCCATCACCAGCCAGGCCTCTGGCCCAAGCGCTGAGGCGCGGCTGAGCTGGGACCCCCGGCAGGCCCGGCGGTTGGCCGTGGAGAGCAATGAGAGTGAGGCTGCACTGAGGGCCCCACCGGCCAGAGAAGCACCTGGAGGGGCCCCTGCCGGCCCGGGGATGCTGCCAGCCTAGGAGGAAACTGAGTCGGCCCCTCCGCCATGGGCTCCAGGTGAAGAGGCCCCACTGCCGGCCAAACAGGATGGTCCCCCGCGTGAGCCCTCAGAGAGCCTCGGGCCAGAGAGCATGGCCGGCCTGGACGCTGTGGCCAGACCTGCCCGGAAGGTACTATTGCCCACACCACCGGGCGCCTCCTTCCAGCCTCTCTACCCTCCGCAGAGCGAGGGCCAGGCCTTCCCCCCTCCTGGTTTCTCGGGGCCCATGTATGCGTCTCAGGAGAACCCGATGGGCTCCTCCCAGTACGATGACCCGAGAAATGCTCAGTTTGCCGAGAAAAGTGACACCCTGGCCACTGACACTGAAGGAGACAGAGAGTCCCAGGCCAGGCCAGGTGAGGGAGCCGGTGTGTTTCCCCCCTTGGCACAGAAAGGGGGACCTCCACCCCAGTTTCAGGGCCAGAGGGAGCCCACACCACGTGCTTTCGGGATGTCGGGCCTTCACGGCCCCAGTTTCCCAGCTCCTCGGGGGCCAGTTCCTCCGTTCTCAGAAGAGAATGCTAATAACGATGGGCCAAGAGGAGGGCCTCCGCCGGCCAGATTCGGGCCTCAGAAGGGGCCCATTCCTTCCCTGTTCTCAGGGCCACATGGACCACCTCCCTATGGGGATGGCAGGGGCCCCTCCCCATCCCACCTGGGTGGGCCCAGGGGAGCAGGGCCGCCTCCGTTGGAAGAGCGAAAGGACGCCCACGGGGAGAAGAGAGAGTACCCGGACGCCCTGTACGGCGAGGCCTCAGGTGGCCCTGCCCAGTGCGAGGGACCTGAGCAGGCCCCATTCCCGGGAGGCCGGGGTGCCACGCCGTTCCAGTTTGGGGGCCAGAGGAGGCCTCTGCTGTCGCAGTTTAAGGGACCCCGAGGCGGCCCTCCTCCCTCTCAGTTCGGAGGTCAGCGAGGACCCCCACCCGGCCACTTCGTGGGCCCAAGGGGGCCGCACCCTGGGCAGTTTGAAGGCCCCAGAGGCCAAGCTCCTGGCTTCGTGCCCGGACCCAGGGGGATGCAGCCTCAGCAGTTTGAAGAGCAGCGGGTCCACTCGCCGCCCCGGTTCTCCGGCCAGAGGGCACCTGTACCCCTGCCCTTCGGGGGGCCCCGGGGGGCTGCCCCATTCCCAGAGAAGAGTGAGCCGGTGCCCCCCCCGCTTCCACTTCCAGGGCCCAGCTGCCCCCGGCCCCAAGCCGGCACCCAGGCCGCTGCTGGAGCTGCCCAGCCACCCTCCTGCACCATCCGCCACGCAGGCCCAGGGCCCAGAGGCTGACTTCCACGAGTACAGAGGCCCGGCTTTCGAGGGGCGGCCCCGCGACAAAGCCCCAGAGGAGCCTGAGGCCCCGCTGCCTGACAGCCGCTCAGGCCGGGCCCTCGACGACCGGCGGCGTGAGAAGGAGCGTGGGAAGCCCTGGGAGCGGAAGCGCGGCCGGACCTGGAGCCGTGAGCGGGACTGGGACCGTGGTCGAGACTGGGACCGCCACCGTGACAAGGACGCTGGCCGCGACTGGGACAGGAGCCGTGAGCGGAACGGGGGCAGGGACAAGGGGCGTGAGTGGGACCGTGGCCGAGAGCGGAGCCGCAACCGGGACCGCGACCGCAGGCGCGACAGGGAGAGGTCCCGCAGCAGGGACCGCGACCGTGACAAGGCCCGAGAGCGGGAGCGCCGCAGGGACCGCAGCCGGAGCCCTGAGCGGCCCCGGGACCCCAAGACAGAGACCCCTCGGCCTGCGGCCCCCACTCCCCAGACCTAGGGCCCCTTGGGAGCGGCACTCCCTGCTGAGCAGATGGTCTTGGAAAGAACTGCGGACTCATGCGCAAATAGAACTTTATGGACTTGAAATATTACTGTAATCTTGTGTATAATGGTTTCTTACAAAATTTCACACATTTACAATTCCGATGCTTTTTTAGAAACAAAAAACTAAGAACTCTTAACATTTCCATTTAAATGTACTGAAATGGGAACGTACCTACAAAAGCATATTGCTTTTTCAGATTATAAAGTTATCTTTTCTAATAACTTGACTGTTGTAAATTCTGAGGGAGTTTAGTGGCTGTTAGAGCCATACCTTTCCTGACATTCGCCTGTGTGTCTGTTTCCAGAGGTGTGGCTGTTTCCAGAGTATGTTTTTACAGGGTTCAGACCTGGTGGCCATGGGTTTCTGTGCATAGCTGTCAGCTAACCTCTGGATGGTTGAGAAATGCCAAACTTAACAGATGCATCTTTCTCTCGTCACAAAGAAATTTGAATTACAAATTTCAACCAGGAAACAAAACATTTCTTAGTTTAGCTCAGTTTTTATATATTGCCTTACACTTTTTCTTTCCCAAAAAACATGATTAAAAGCAACATCTGAATAGAAACTGTTGAATTTTAAATAACATTTAGTTTAAAAGATTTAAATTTTACTAGTCTAAAGAAAGGAAATAAATCAATTAAGTGTAATTTAAAAGGTGGGGTGGGGTGGGATGGGGTGGGGGGGGACGTTCTTTGACTTGAATAATCAGGAACAGTGTTTTGGTTGAACTTTACCACCTGAGCAGTTCTTTCTTATGTCCCAGGAAAAGTGCACTAGCTCCACACTGCTGTCCTTGTCAGGTGATAAATCTCAGCATTTGTTGTTGAAATGGAACAATATCTGTATAAAGCCTGAGGTGAAAATAGTGCTATTAGCTCAAAAACTGCAAATTAGAATGCTTTTCACCATGAAGCACAGTAAGCTGCTTCTCGTCCTGTGTTTCCAAGTACTTCTGAAGTGGAAAGTAGAGGAAAACTTGCTAATTTATTTGACTGTATAAATACACTTTCATAATTTTTTTAATATTTTCATAAATTTAATTTTGCAAATGTAAAGTTAGAGAATTTCCTTTGTTCTTTGGAGTCTATTCCATTGTACATCACTACAGATTCTTCCCTTTCTAGCACAAACGTTTAAGCTGCGAGAACATTGAGAACTTAGCAGTTTGGGGTGATTTGTGGGTGTTACAGACCCTGTCAGTAGGTTAAGTTACATTAAAGTGGTGACGAGTTCCAACATCTAATGTGATGTGAAGGTTTTTTTTTTTTTTACATGTAAAACAAAAATTTTCTAATTTAAATACAACCAAATGTAAAAAATCAAGTGTGTTTCTTTAGGTTTACTTGGTAGAAATTTCTGTAAATTGTATTTTATATTGCAAAGTATTATATCACTGTACATTTAAACATGGAACTTCATAGCTTTGTTACGTGAAGTAGAATAAACATCTACAGAAAGAAAAAAAAAAAAAAAAGAAACCTTAAGCTATCCCATGGGAACTCTGAGTCTGGAATGGCCCTTCAGAAATGTACCTTGGCCTGGATCAGTCATTGGATATAAGAAAGGTAGAGGAAACTTAGGTGTGAAACAGGTCTCTCTGACCAAAGGCAAATCCCAGGGAAGATGCTAGCTGTGAGCTCTTAGCAGCCAACACTCTGAGCAGCTGGGGAACCGTCCTTGGTTTCTATTTGAGTGAGGGTGTGGGGGTTCAGAACAGGTGGAGATTGGCATACAGTTGGCAGCAGATCATGACTTGAACTCAACTTGGAATCCAAGTTTAAAGCTCATTTTGCCACAGCATAGCTGTATTCACTCAAAAAAAAAAAGACAAATGCAGAGTCTGAGACCACTCATTTTCTTTTCTCCTAATCCAAAACCAAGGCTATATTTGTAAAGTGATTCCAACATTTTTTGTAAGTGATCTTGAGCATAGCAGTTGACCAATTGAATATGGCATTTTAAAGATCTGAAATAAAACACCAACCAAAGAAGTAAACTGAATTACCACACATAGACATTTATATCACCTTAATATTACATTGCTCTACAAAGTGTTTCCCTCTCTCAGTAGAGAACACTGTGATATCCAACTTTCCATCTTGAGATGCTGACAAATGGGAAATAAATTGATGTGGAAGTAGCACCATTTCTACTTTTAGGATCTTCATCCCACAGGGAAAATGATTCCATTTTAGTGAAAATCCTAATAAAACATTATCTTGGAAGTTAGTAAAATATTAATTTATTCTTTAAAAGAATCTAGTTCCTCTACCTTACTTCTTTATTTGTGTTATATACTTATTGCAATAAGTAGCTTTATTTAAGCTAAACTCAATGCTTCTATTTTGGTATTACAAATAAATCAGCTGATACTGTTCCCAGCAGTGAGAGTTTACCTGAAGCTTATAAAAAACACACTCCAAGTTCTGTCTACAAATTGGTCTGAACAGTCTTTTTATCTATAAACAAGTCTGTGACTGTTTTTTTTTTCATTCTGTCAGCATATTCTCACTATCACAAGACCTTTTGAATACATTACTCATTGTTCCCAGAGCTTTTAGCTCTTTTCCTTTCTGTGTGTCCTGGAAATTCCCTCATTCATCACCCTGATTCCCAGCCTGCCCCGTAAATTTACTCACCTCTTGTTTAACCTCGTATGAGATCTCAGTCAAATTAAAATTCCAGGTAACTATTGCCCGTAGCATAGCATGCTAGTTCTTAAACTTTGAGCCCCAAGAATTACTAGGGGAAATGATTAACATAGAAAATATCAGACATTCACACTAGACCTAAAGATTCAGAATTTCTGGAAGTGATGCTCCGTGTGTGGTTAGTTGCTCATTCATGTCCTACTCTTTGCGACATGACTGTAGCCTGCCAGGCTCCTCTGATTGTGGGATTCTCCAGGCAAGAATACTGGAGTTAGTTGCCATGCCCTCCTCCAGGGGATCTTCCCAACCCAGGGATCGAACCCGAGTTTCCCACATTGCAGGCAGATTCTTCACTGTCTCAGTGACCAGGGAAGCCCAAGAATACTGGAGTGGGTAGCCTTTCTCTTCTGCAGGGGATCTGCCCAACCCAGGGATCAAACCTAGGTCTCCCACATTGAAGGCAGATTCTTTACCAGCTAAGCCACAAGGCAAGCCCAAGAATACTGGAGTGGGTAGCCTATCCCTTCTCCATGGGATCTTCCCTACCCAGGAATCAAATGGGGGCCTCCTGCATTGCAGGCAAATTCTTTACCAGCTGAGCTATCTGGGAAGCCCCAGACAAATGTGCAATTAAAAGTCTTTTTGTGGAATCCTGTTAAATATCACAGCTTGAGAACCACTCACAAGCGAACTTCACATTTTCAGGTACTGATGTAGCTTGCTGGCTGGAGGCTATCAGGATAAAACTGGCATTTCAAGTCTATTCTTTTCTAAGTTTGTGCGAATAACAGCAGTTTATGAAGTGGAAACAATGGGCTGGCTCGTCTCAGTGCTAATCCATTTGTTTGATAAGGCCTATCAGAATGGAAACATTATAAATGCAAAGAACAGGGACTGATTTGAGAAAATTTACTGTAGAAGAATATAAAGGGCCTGGTGATTCCTGGAATGTTAAAACGAAAAGATAGTAAAAGAATTGAAGATTACTTCAAAGGCATGAGGAGATGGGGACACTGGGAAGATGGCTATGAAGAAAATTTGTGATATTTCAATAAATATTGAAGGTAGCACTTGATGAGGTGATGGGAAAGCCACAGAGGTAAGAGCAACTAATTTAACTTGCTTCAGCACATATTTATTGAGTACCTACTCCATGCACAGCATCATCCTAAAGTGTACTAAAGCATGGTTCCCAAATGTGGATTTATATTAGATTCACCTGGGGAGATTTTTTTAAAATATTTATTTATTTGGCCATGCTGGGTCTTAGTTGCAGTATGTGGAATCTGGTTCCCTGACCAGGGATTGAACCTGGATCACTACACTGGTGGTGCAGAGTGTTAACCGTTGGACCACCAGAGAAGACAACTGAGCAGATGTTTACAAATCATGTTCTGGGGCCCCATATTAACTCAGCTGAATCTAAATAACTGGAGATGGGGGTGGAAATCTCTTCTATGTGAAGTGGATCTGATGCATCCAATTGATGGACCATAGTGACCGCAAAACGAACAAACTATGCTGAGGAAAATGTGAATTGGTGCAGCCACTGTGGAAAACAGTGGGAATTTCTTAAAAAACTAAAAACAGAACTTCCTTGTGACCCAGCAATGCCAATCTTGAGTATATACCTAAAAAAACCCCAAAACACTAATTCCAAAAGATATATGCATCACAATGTTCATAGAAGCACTATTTACACTAGATATGATATGGAAACAACCTAAACTGTCCATCAACAGATGAAAAGATGAAGAAGACGTGATACACACACACACACACACACACACACACACACAGAGTGGAATACTAATCAGCCATAAAAAATAATGAAAATTTGCCATTTGCAGCAATGTGGATGGACTGCGAGGGCATTGTGCTAAGTGAAGTAAGTCAGGCAGATAAAGACAATATACTGTATGATATCATGTATATGTATAATCTTAAAAATACAACAAAAAAGAAGCAGACTCACAGCTATAGAGAACAAACTAGTGGTTACCAGTGGCGAGAGGGGAGTAATATGGTAGGAAAATGTGAGGCACAAACTATAGGGTATAAGATAGGCTCAAGGATGTATTGGGAGAAGGCAGTGGCAACCCACTCCAGTACTCTTGCCTGGAAAATCCCATGAACAGAGGAGCCTGGTAGGCTGCAGCCCATGGGGTTGCAAAGAGTCGGGCACGACTAAGCGACTTCACTTTCACTTTTCACTTTCATGCATTGGAGAAGGAAATGGCAACCCACTTCATTGTTCTTGCCTGGAGAATTCAGGGACAGCAGAGCCTGGTGGGCTGCCAT